ACCAATTTCAGTATATGTCAAACTTGTTGCCATGGAAATGCCAAAAATATTTTATTCAGAAATCCCAAACTACCAAAAGGGCACCAGTATTTTATTCTGACCACCAGACCAGCTATCTATGTGCCAAGTTTGGTGAAGAAATAGTGAACGGTTTCAGAGTTCAGCTCGAAAAATGTCCTACCACCAATTTCAGGCTAAGTCAAACTTGTTGCCACGAAACGCCAAAAATATTTTATTCAGATTTCCAAAACTACCAAAAACGACACCAGTACACCACTAGATCTATCTATGTGCCAAGTTTGGTGAAGAAATAGTGAACGGTTTTAGAGTTCTGTTCGAAAAGAGCACTACCACCAATTTCATTCTAAGTTGAACTTGTTGCCATGGAAACGTCAAACATATTTTATTCAGATTTCCAAAACTACCAAAAGGCACCAGTACACCACCAGATCTATCTATGTGCCAAGTTTGGTGAAGAAATATTGAACGGTTTTAGAGTTCTGCTCCGGAAAAAAAAAAATGTGCACGGACTATGGACGGACGACGCGACGCTTATCGATCGGAGTCCATTTTAATACCCCCCGCAAACGCTGCGGGGGATAATAATAAAAAACACCATTGAATGTACTTATTAGAATTGGCAAATAACAATTTGGTTTCATATTTTAATTTTTGGGAGATGTTTTATGGTGCCATTTGCTGAAAATTGCTAGTCGTCATTACCCCACGATCATTTTTTCTGTTTTCATCATTTCAAATTTACATTCTTTTTCACCCCAAACCAGCTGAATGCTACAGGTACATATAAATGTCCCTCCAATTTTGAATTTGAATACAATTCAAAATATGCACACATGTAAACATCAAATATTTGAATTCTGCAGCAAATGCTCCCATCTGTATCGTTTAAGAAACACTTTTGAAAACCACCTCTGAAAATTAGGTACATCCAGAACTCGCCATTTTTACAAGCTACCAAATCACCATTCATGGCAATATTTTGTGTTTCTTTTAAAATCTACATAAAGAATATTTACTCAATGAATTACAGAAATAGCATATTAATGATCCTGGTTACTGGTTCTGCATCAATTCAACAATGAGTATTTTGAAATGTCGGCTATAACACTTGAATCATTTAGAATGTTTCACAACAAACGTATACACGATCACCAAATGAGTTTTCTGCTGAATTGGATAATGTTTACAAAATCACTTTTCATTCATGCTGGTAAACAACAACAAACAAAATACCGCAATTGTGTCCTATTTTCTGAGATTTTATTGGGTATTTGCAGCATGCCCTGGCTCAAAACACCAAGAATGCACATCGAAAGAGTATCGCAGAATTATGGACTAAAAAATAATTTCATCACAATGACTTGGTAACTTCAACAGAATTTTTGTGAAAATTATGGAACAAATAAAGACAGACAATATGTAGATTTTCAGATTGTCTAATCTATCTATAGATATATGTAAATAAAATTTGTGAATCAATGAAAATCTCTCAATGAACATTCCTGCTAACCAATGACATGTTGTTGAATTCTATCACCAGTAGTGACGTCACACGCCAACATATTTTACACATTTCTTTGTCTAAAGGTCATGTGACTAGATGTGCATATGCCTATTCAATGCTGCAGATCATAGTTTCAATTTGACCATCTTTAAGATATTTTCACATAATGAATCACACCATGTGTGGTTTTATGCCGAGTTTAGGAATATTCCAGCAATATCACGGCGGGGGACACCAGAAATGGGCTTCACACATTGTACCCATGTGGGGAATCGAACCCGGGTCTTCGACGTGATGAGTGAACACTTAAACCACTAGGCTACCCGATCGCCCCATCACACCATGAATATTTATCAATATTCATCATCATATCACAAAGAGTAGATCTCATCCACCTTTGATTCTCAAATTCTCTTTAAACTATTTGCATTAAACATTTGCAAACTGAGCATGGTATGCCATATCAATTACCTTTAGTTATGTGTTGTGAAAATGAAATGTAAATGTAACCGTAAAATGTATTCAGTCCTTAGTAGTGTGGTTTGGTTTGGTTTGGTTGGTTAACGGTGCACTCAGCAATATGGCGGCGGTCCAAAAATAATCAATAATAAGTCTGGACCAGACAATCCAGTGATAAATACCATGAACATCGATCTATGTAACTGGGAACCGATGACATGTGTCAACCCAGTGAGCAAGCCTGACCACTCAATCCTGTTATTCGCCTCTTACGACAAGCATGGGTTACTGAAGGCCAATTCTAACAAAAATATGTTGTCATTGTCCACAGAGGCTTGAGCTGCAATAAACGTGTTCTAAGCATAACAGAGTTATGTCCCTTTTATTTGTGCAAGCATATTCTCTTTTTCCTTTGTTTTGATTCATAACTGAAACATAGCTTTCATTACGTAGGAAAAGCTATTTATCATGTCTAATGTATAATGTTTATACATAAGGAAACATATCCATTTAATATATATGTACGATGTTCAGATATTAGCTAGTATTATTTTTTTAGACTGTACACACAGTACAGAAGCAGAGCAGTGTGTGTTTTTCAAGATGGTTTCATATTAGCAGTTGGATAAAACAATTTACACAATCAGATAAGAATTTAAGATTCTGCAGATATGCAAAATTTTCATAATCAAAGACATGTCACACATGCATTATTCTTGCAGATATACTTTTCAGATCTCTGAAACAACATGTCACAAAAATAACACAGCTTCAACAGGGTCAAGGGTAGTGTATCCTTGGTAACGAATTTGAATCTCATTTTGTGAAGGATAGTGTGCGGGTACTGTAGCTCACCCTCAATGATAATACCATGAGTGAGTGAGTTGGGTTTTACGCCGCATTTAGCAATATTCCAGCAATATCACGGCAGGGGACACCATAAATAGGTTTCACACATTGTGCCCATGTGGGGATTCGAACCCGGGTCGTCAGCGTGACGAGCCGACGCTTTAACCATTTGGCTACCCCACCGCCCCTGATAATACCATGATGGCTGTTGGAGTGATATGAAGCTGTATTGTCAGCCATATGCTTCCACTGGCTTATGTGAATCTGTGATGGAATTCAAACTAATACATGACCTAAAGATCAAGGCAGTGGAACAACTAGGCTAAAAAAATAACATCAACGCAGTGATGAACTAAAACAAAATGTGTCAAAATCAATCTTGAAGCATTCATGTCTATCAAGTTTGTTTGAGCTTTTTTTGGCAAACGTACACTTCTCTAATGCTTTAAACAGTTATTTGCGAAATGGTCAAGCATTACCATGATAAGGTGGTCATGTTGAAAGTTCAAGGTGAAAACGTAACACTTTCAAGTCTTGATTGAACCAAGCAAAAATGATCAAACACTGTAACAATATTTTCAAGGACATCATTAAAGTCACTGTATTGTCAAATTGTTGATACAAGATATCAGTATTTGGCTGGGTGAGACAAGATTGAATTAGAAACACCTAATTCAGTAGAAGCTGCAGTGATCAAAGTGCAAAGTGCTTATCAGAAAACATAGTCAAAATCCCAAATGCAGCAAACAGGCCTACCAAAGAAAACTTTCCCACTGTGCAGAAAAACGCAGAAAAGCCCACATTAATCGTGGAAACAGGAACATAAACATAATACCTCGCTACTGAAACAGTAAAAACTGCAACGACTGACTGAGTTTGGTTTTACGCCGCTTTTAGCAATATTCCAGCAACATCACGCGCAGGGGACACCAGAAATGGGCTTCACACATTGTACCCATGTGGGGATTCGAACCCAGGTCTTCGGCATGACGAGCCAACGCTTTAACCATTAGGCTACCCCACCGCCCCTAAGAACGGCAACGAAAGACTATGAAACTGCAACATGTATATATGAGCGAACTTTTGACCTCTACTGCGCATGCGCATTGCGATCTGCGCTTCTTTCCAATTTCCGAGCAACCGTGATTCGCCTCGCGTAAAAGAAGTATTAAATATGTCGAAATAATTGCTGTTAATCATTTCATACAAATATAAAGTAAACTAAACAGGTGTGCACACAAGTATCATGATGATAAATGCCAAATAACACAACAGAAATACTTAAAAAGGGAATGTAACATTTGTCCAAGCTGGAAAATGTCAACATGCAGTCGAGACTTCCTCTTCACATGTGCACATGCGCAAAATCGAAGTTGCAGGCTCTTCGTTTTTTTATGCAGGTTTAGCGATTTAAAGTTGTCGTTTTTACTGTTTCAGTAGCGAGGTATTATGTTTATGTTGCTATTTCCACGACTAATATGGGCTTTTCTGCACAGTGGCAAAGTTTCATAGTCTTTCATCCATTTCGTAGATATATCACTCTCCTTGACTTGTTAAGTTATAATACAATTTTAAATCATGCAAGATTATGGCCTGATAAAAACGTTCATGATATAACAGCTTAATGATGACTTATTTGAACAGAAACAAGATATTTCAGACATGTGTTTTCTTATTTGTTTTTGATGGTAGTTTACCTTTTTGTAATCTTTTGCTTAGTTACTACATTAAAACTTAGGACTAGTGAATTATTTACCGGGCTAATAACTTTCAGGCATAGTATGGAAACTTTGAAACTATTTCTCACATATGAAGTGTGAGCTGAGATCAATACTGCTTTGGAAACTATTCCAGTTACATTACAGAGTGTCAGCTTAAAGTGGGAGGACATCGTGAAGTGTTGCCGGTCTCAGACGTATACCAGTTTTGTGAAACACACAAGCACATATATGGTGGTAACTGACCTAGAAACAAAGTCGTGAAAAATCTGAAATTTGAACACGCCACACGAGATAACCAGGTAACATACAGATATTGTCTTTCTGCTATTGTGAGCTGAAGCTGATAGTTGAGGAACACGAGATCAAGCAAATAAAAAACGAAGTGCTCTGGCAAAAGCAACCACACATTGTCAGTAGAAACATGTTAGTAAAACTGGTGAGTATACCTCGAGTCTTCATATCTAGAAACATCAAACAGTATATAGGTTAGCTCAAAAGGAAGGAGTATGGTTGATAACAATATATTATTTTGATACACTTGCAAGCTCAGTTGTCTGTCTGTTTGTTGCTTGTCCCAGCGTTAAGTAATATTTCTGTGTCATTACACTTTACAGACGTCTGTAAATCATAAAGTCTGGACCACATAATCCAGTGATATTGTTTGATGGAGGTTAGTATTGTATAATGCAATACTATTGCAATAGTTGGTCGCAATAGTAAGTTGTAACAGACTATTGTTATCACAATAGTTGTTTCCCCGTCAATAGTCATCCCTACCAGCAATTATTTAACTTTTCCTTGTCCTTGGGAGAATTTACTAGGCATTATTTACCAGATTTATATACACCGTCATTAAAATGTCAGCTGTTACCTAATATTCACTACAAGAGGTAGTAATCAAACTTCAAGTGGAACTGTAAATTACACAGCTGCCTAACCACGCTAAGTCAATCAAAAATATAATTTATTGAAGAGACAAAAAAACTGTCCCGATAAATCTAGCAATGTAAAAGTACCACATTTCTACATCTAAATAGGTCATAAATGTCAGTGAGCATTATGTCTTTCTCAGCTTAATCACCACTATAAAGATTAATCTACCTAGCCCTGCTCAGAAGACAATATTTTGTCCATTGTCTGCAACAAATTAAAGTAAAAATTCCCAATCAAAATTAAAATGTCCCAATTCCTTAGAATGTATGAAAATGCGGATATAAAATCTCTATCTTTGGAATCGTTCGAAAAATCTTGATTGAAAAATGTACCTGCAACATATTTGCCGTCTATCCAAAGTGGTAGTCAAGTATGAAAATGTTACTAGTCCTAATTGAAGTTTACTAGTCTTGGACTAGCAGTGGTGAACATGGTATTTTACAAGGAAATGTCAGTAGTCTCCACCTGAGCTTTAACCGTACGGTATTGAAGTTATTCTGTCTCAGAAACACGGACGAGTGATTGATTGTTGCTTAATGCCACACTCAGCAATATTCCAGCTATACGGCAATGGTCTGTAAATAATCGGGTCTGGACCAGACAATCCAGTGATCAACAGCATGAGCAACCAATCTACGCAACTGGGATACCATGACATGTGTCAACAAAGTCAGCACGCCTGCCACTCGTTCCCATTAGTCGCCTCTTACAAGCTAGGTTACTGAAGGCCAATTCTAACCCGGATCTTCACGGATCGAAAAACGAACGAAGTCACTCACCTTTCCCGAAGTAGATGAATCCGATGACAATGATGATGCCGAGCGCCACCAGTTTGCAGGTGGTGATGACGACCTGCACCCGTGTCGCCCATTTGACATTGCGAATGTTGATGCCGATCAGCAGACCTGGAGAACAGGGAGTACATTTAAAATCCTTTAATTTAAACTTTAAGTAATTATTTTATTACTGTACATGCATTTAACCCAAAATACCCAAAACTAAAATCACCTATTGGTCAAATCATTCAGCTGTAACCGTATACACCTGTTAATCACTCGTCCCTATCATGACTGAATATGTATAGTGTCAACGAGGTCATGACATGAAATAAGGTTTAACATCACTGTAATGGTGTGCGAGGACCACTGCAGGCAGGAGTAACCTCCTCTTGGTAGTTAAATGAGTATGACGTCACGGGTGGTTGTGTACCGGCCATTATGAATGTTTGCTCAGCAGAATTAAACCAAGTCAAAGGAACTACCACTCCGTCCTCACCAACAAAACAACCACATTCAAAATTAAAGCACTTATACACAAAGCTTATATATGTTACAGGGAATGTGTGAAATCAGCGATTTCATGTAATCCCTTAAAGAGTCAGTGATTTCGTGAAATCACTGTGACCCTCAGGGATTTCATGTATTCCCTAACTTTCAAGGGATTTCATGAAATTACTGAAATATTGGCTCAGGGATTTCATAAAACCCATGCATACCTTTATTGAAATAGAGAACACCAAATTTATAATGCGACTACAGAGTATATGCTGATAAGCTTCATTTCTTGGGACAAGATAGACTGTAATGACACCGGCTATTAAACTTCAGTCCCATATGTTAAAACATTTACAACGTCTCGATTTACATTGGTTAGAACCCCAGTTACAGTTCTGGAAACCCTGAACATTACAATTCGACTTGGAAATCACCACAGTCTGGAGAGACACCTTTATATTTCTTATGTTTTTATTCATTCAAATCAGTAGATACAAATATACAAAATACATACTGCAACAGAACTAGTACACAATCAGACAGAAGTTCATATGGGCAGGCATTACACATATTGGAAATTTCATTAAAATTACTCTGGGAAATTATGCAAAAGTGATGTCAAATCATAATATTTGTTTTATTGGCAATAAACTTTTCTGTCTTGAAAATATCACCCAATATTTTAACAAATGTATCCTTTGATAACTTGGGTTTTTTAATACTTGATGCATGAATGTATTTTTTACCAGCACGACTAGCAGTATATGATGCATTAGGTCGGTATTATTTCCGCCAATTCTTTCAGGGTAAACTTTTCTGGTGATTTATCTTCAATATACTCTTTCAGTTTCAACAAGAATGTTTTCACACATTTACATTTTCAGTAAACATGTATCCACTTATTTAACTCGGAACAGATTGATGTAAACAAAGCCAAGATTCAAATGTGAAGAGACACTTGTTTGTCCATTGTCACATCATTCGTAGAGAGCAGACACTGAGTAACGTACTCCATTGTCGGAGTAGCTCGTCTTCTGTTTCTAATCTTTCGATGACGTCTTTAGGCAGTGAGGATGACGTCAAGCAAATCTTAGCAGTACACCCAAATAACGCTTCATACGTACTGCAGTTAATACCTACATGAAGTGCCGAATTCTTATGGAATTGTATAACTTGATTCCGATGGTCAAGAGTAAAGCTGTGAGAAAATTACCTTGGCACCCTGACTCGATGTAGCAATTAGCCAAGGGTGTCATCTGTAAATTGTCAAATTTTCAACTTCTATGAACTGAGGGATGAATTGATACTAAACAGCAAATTGTTTTACTACAAAAAGTTTTAAGCTACAAACATTATTTTAACACATTCACTGATATCCTAAACAGGGAGCGCAACGGTTTGAAATGGCGGACGAGCCAATGTTTACATTTTGAGAAAGGTTGAAATTTGAAGTGACAGTGGAAAATACTTGACTGCCTGTCGAATCTGAACCCTGCAGAATCGAAGAATAGATCTTTTTCTGATTGACCTACGACCTGTAACTCATCAAAGACTGTTGATTTGTATGACCGGCGAGTGTCGATCATGATTTTACGTTCGTGCCTCCATCCCAGCATGCAACAAAAGAGTGACAGTGCTGCTTTGTGTACATGCCACTAACTTGGAATTCCTTGGAACATTGTTTTCATCATTTGGGACTGGATTGTGGCCAAGCTTTTATTAAAGTGTACGAACATAGGTCACCAGCAGTGACAGCCTTGCGGGAAGCTGACAGATAGCAGAATTCTGGTGGTTCAAGTTTTGACATGTATTTTTTTAACGATGCAACAGGACATGATGGAGTATGAGCGGCATAAATTTAGTGTTTCGCCTGACAGTTATCTTGCACATTTCCCATTCTAAACGGAAACAAATATACCACTTACCAGGTAGGCAAATGTTTACTAACGTTCTGCTGCGAATTTTGTATAGATGGGGATGTATTTGTAAAAGGCTTTCTGATTAATAAGTGAGATATTGTTTCTTTATGTTTGGGGCTGTGCATTGTAATTGAGTTTGAATATTTTTATAATACAAGGTAATGTGATAGTGAGGTTCCCTTATAATTGTGGAGGAAAAATCATATAAATTATGTATTTTTAGAGTTTAATCAATGTTTTATAAGAATTTCTATCACGTCTGTTGTGTTGATATTAGCCATGTTGGTGGCCAAGCTGAAGTAGTGCGGCAGTGTTGTAAACGTGCGCAGTGAAGTGGTCATGAAATCAGACGCATTTTCAATCCAGGATTGATGGTATCTAATTTTCTTGATTGCCCAATCAAATTCGAGCATTTCACGTAGTCATGGTAGAATGACTCTTTTAGGAATTATGTGAAATCCCTGGTTTCACACATTCCCTGTAACATATACACACTTGTGCTTGTCATTGGCATAGAATTATACTCACTCACTTACTCATTGGGCAGATGTTGGTGCCAAAATGGCAGTGGGGATAAAGGGTTTGGACACTGATGTCGTCTTAATGGGGCCCGTAAGTAGGTCGCAGCACTTCGTGAGACCTAAGTACTCCTGCTGACAAACAATGTACACTTGGTCAGGTCTAGTAAAGTCCTGCTTGGTGGTCGTGCAATTTGGAACCAGAACTGCTGTTGAATATACCCTTGTCACCAAAAATCTGGTACTGGAGTGGAAGTCAGCTTGGCCCCGTCTCGCAAAGGGAGGGGGGAACCAGCTTTCTACCGAGAGTAGCGTCTCGTGAGACTTACAGGCACTATTAACATTGCTGCAGAGTTTCAGGGTTAGAACTAAACTTAAAGACTTTACTAGCCAAAGTAGTATGAGTTTGGTTTTAAGCCGCTTTTAGCAATATTCCAGCAATATCACGGCGGAGAACACCAGAAATGTGCTTCACACATTGTACCCCAGTGGGGAATCAACCCGGGTCTTTGGCGTGACGAGCGAACGCTTTAACCACTAGGCTACACCACCGCCCACTAGCCAAAGTAAATATAAAAAGCCCTTGTAATGTTAAAAAAACAACAGGAAAATTGTACCAACCATGAGGAATTAGTACCAGTCTCAGGCTAGTAAGATCTAACCCTGGATTTATCTGCCTCTGAGCTGATCAACACGAATCTGTGAAAAAGAGAGCCTAATACTGGAATCAGCTCAAAAGGTTAACATGTTCGGCTCAGCATGCAGTCATGATTTATATGCTTGTTGTTGACAATATTCCAGCTGTAAATTATCAAGCCATCAGTCCAGAGACATTATAAGCATGTGTTGACACAGATGGTACACGATGACACGCATCAAGCAGGTCAAGTTGAATCATGTTAAATCTGTGGACATGCTGACGACTTGATTCATTTAACTATTCAATTAGACCAGGAATATGATGACGCATCCTGCAGATCAAGCAAGTAAGTCTGACCATGTTGACAACTTGATTCATTTAACTATTCACTTAGACCAGGAATATGATGGCAGGCATCCTGCAAATCAAGCAGTAAGTCTGACCATGTTGACAACTTGATTCATTTAATGGCTCGTTTCACTGAATTCAGCAATATTCCAGCAATATCACGGCAGGGGAACACTAGCAATGGGCTTGACACATAGTACCCATGTGAGGAATCAAACCTGAATCTTAAGCATGACGAGCAAATGATTTGACCACAAGGCTACCAAACTGACCCCACCTTAATAGACCAGCATAGCTGCCTTCCATACAATCTCCACATGGCCGTGCAGGTGAGGTGAGGTGAGGTGAGGTGAGGAATTGGGTTTAACGTCGTGCTTGAGAATATTTCGCTCATATGACGACGTGCGTGCGTGTGTATGTGCAGCTGCTTGTACTAGCCCAGGCTTATGCTGGTTTTTATAGTGCTAGCCCACTGAGATACCATACCCCACTCGGACACATTATACTGACTCCGAGCCGACCAGTCCTTGTCGTACCCATTAATGCCGAACGCCAGACAGGGACCAACAAGTACCATATTTTAACGTCTTTTGATATCACGCGGTCGGGGATCAAACCCGTGACCTTCCGCTCTCCGGGCGGACTCTCTAACCACTACACCATGGAGGCGGTCTGGCCATGCAGGTATGAGAAATGGCTGTCAACATGCCAGACTTGACTGTTGTAACAGGCAACGAACATAAACACATGTGCAACATGTATAATAAACTGTCATGTTCTACTCTTTGTTATGAATATGGATTAGAATCCTGTTTATCAACCACATCCATTCACCATATGCCACAGTCCGACAGTAAACACATGCACAAGTGTATAAAACATCACTGCATCTACTGCCTAGTTCGTTCATGTAGTATAAATCCCGTATCTTCCAACTGGCGTAATGTATCTGAGGTTATTAAACTGTACAATTGATAAAGATTATTTGCAAAAGAGACCAAATTGTTAATTGTGTTCAAGTGAAATTAATATTTGGTCAAGTGGATTTTGAAACAAATTCCAACTCCTGTAGATCTGTACTCATGTGTGACATGAACGTATATTTCATTATCCTTTTCAGGTTTTTCAACCTGGTCCTCAACATCAACAGGTGCTAAGAAATAATTACTTGTTTTTACTAGTGTTGGGAATTGGGTGAAATCTCACAATTGATGATTGCTTCATTACAAACGAACAATCATCGAAAAAAATTGGTTATTTTTCAGATCTTCCTATCCAGGTTGTTATTGCAGATAAATATAACATGATGCAACTTCCTACTTTAAAGTGATGACTAATATATCATTCAAATGGAGTCTTCAAGAACTATTCAGTCATGACTTTTCAGCTAGTGAAGTAAGTTTTCTAAGAAATAAACACCTTTTCAGGCCCTGACAACTTCGAAGATATGTTCCATCGTCAAGTGTTTCAAAGACTAAAACAGTTTAAGTTCCAAACTCGTTTGTGTTCGATTATGAGAAAATGTGATCAATTGCTTGGTCGTTTGATCACTGCGACCAATCTTCGATTATTTCAATTAATCGGAACACCAGTTGTTTTTACCAATAATTTTAGGGCACAACAATAATAGCATTCAAAACAACTCGTGTCATTCCGGCAAACCAGATGGAGACTCATACCCCTTTCGTGGCCATGTTCAAGACTGTGCCTTGTCTAAGGCACGGAGATGAAATTGATCGAGGACTATTTCCAAGGAAAGATAACTCTGAATTTCAAAACATGGCTACTCTTAGAAAACAACAATTAATTAATAATACAACACGAAAGTCACTTTAAGTAAGTTTCTTACACCGTCAACAAATATCAGTAAAAAGACAATATTATAATCATGGTAATAATAATAAAAATCGATAATCGCAAAGACACTATTTGACCTCATTTCACATTTTACTACTCGCGATTTGATTGGTTTTCCATGATTCTTGGCAACAATGGCGTACAACTCTTCTTGTAGGTCACAGAAAGAGGCGAGTAGTTCACGAATGCAGGGGTACAGCAGATTTATCTCCAGTTTCTCTGGGGATAAATCAGCAGCTTCAGCAACAAACATCAACACCACTATCCAAATATGTATTTCCCCATTCATGATGTTATCAACTGTTATCATACGACTTTAGTGGACTCGTATTTCACATATTATTGATCAATGAATGACAAAGAGGAAACAGCTTATTGTCAGGCTTCACAATATTTCATAAAACATGTTGAACATCTAGAATGCAATGCTAATATAGTTCTTAATTAAAGGAGTTTCTTTCCAAAATATCCAGCAAAGGGCACTTTGGTTAGAATCCGAGATAACACTTCATGGAAATTAACTTGTAACATTTGATGCCAGAATAACAATACTAATTGGCAAAGTCCAAGAATTGAAGTCCACAAAGTGTATCAGGGAAGCCAAAACTATCCTGAAAAGCTGATTAGAAGGAAAGGCAGATCGAGATCACATTAATCTCTGGAAGTATTGTAATAGGATAAATTCTGTATAAATAAGTACTTTGGATTATCTCATGTTGTATGTCTGTTTGTATCATGTGTTGTACTGAAGGCCACATATTGTGGTGCAATGTTTCACCATCATTTGACAAAATCACATTTGCCTGCTATATACCATGACATACTCTTTTCAAACAGGGTCCCGAATCCACAATTGCTTTGTATCATTACGACCTATTGTAACTCTAAGGAAGGCATGATACTCTATCAGGCATGGCAACAAGAAAATCTATTTTCAGCTGGAAATTTAATATTGTGCCATCGAATGTGTGTGTGTGTGTGTGTGTGTGTGTGTGTGTGTGCGTGCGTGCGTGCGTGTGCGTGTGCATGCTCAGGGGGGGGCGTGATTTGAAATAAAATCAGCAGAAATTTGCCATAACTGCTTTATGGATTACAAGTTCTTATTATATAATGATGTAAGGTTTCCTGCTTGACAACGGTCCCAGAATCTATTCCAAAACTTTGCATCACAACATAACAAAGCAGTTGTCATCTATATTAAGCATCCTACTTCTTTAGAGTTGCAATAGGTCATCATGACATGGAATGTTTGTGGATTCAGGACCCTTATTATCCATAAACGTTTAAAAAGCCAATCAAACAGATCATATTTCTCGCAGGATTGCGAATGTTGTTGAAGTAGGAGTTAGTGAGTATGGTTTTACGCCGCTTTTAGCAATATTCCAGCAATATCATGGCAGGAGACACAAGAAATGGGCTTCACACATTGTCCCCATTTGGGGAATCGAACCTGGATCTTCGGCGTGACGAACAAACGCTTGAACCACTAGGCTACCCCACCCCCCATGTTGCACAAAGAAGGCTTTGTGGATCGGTCTCCAGACTGTGATAACCAGAATTAACTATGACTTGATTTCACATGGCATTAATTACAACCTCTTCATCTTCACTAGCAAGTGGCATGAAACAGTGGAGCAGAATCAACAATTGACTCCCATCAATTCCGTTTGTCGGAACTACCCCTTAACAAAACAGCAAGCCATCCCAGACACCTGACACTATCTGAACTAGCCAGGTGAGTAGATTACCTGTGGTTAGATAAGTCGTCTACAAGGTGGACAGGTTATCTATCTTATCTTATCTGCCAATGTTGTACATGAGGCTATGAAGGTCAACTCTTACGATGGTGCCAACAGCTCTCCAGATTTATCTGCTAACACTACAAGATAGTGCAGGACCATCAGTTGTGTGGCTGGAGTGGGAGTGGATGTGGGTGCGGATGTGGGAGCGGATGTGGGAGTGGGAGTGGGAGCGGGACGGGGTGTGGGAGCGGATGTGGGAGCGGGAGCGGGAGCGGGAGCGGGAGCGGGTGTGGAGCGGGAGTGGGAGTGGATGGGAGTGCGGATGTGGGAGCCGGATGTGGGAGCCGATGTGGGAGCCGGATGGTGGGAGCGGATGTGGGAGCCGGGGGGGGGATGTGGGTGCGGATGTGAGAGCGGATGGGGAGTGGATGCCGGAGCGGAGCGGAGGATGGGGAGCGGATGTGGAGGATGGGATGGGAATGCGGATGTGGGAGCGGACGGGGAGCCGGATGGAGCGGATGTGGGACGAGTGGAGCGGATGGAGTGGAGCGGATGGGAGGACGGATGTGGAGCGGCTGGAGGCGGAGCCGGAGGCGGATGGATGGAGGATGTGGACGGACGGTGTGGGAGGCGGATGTGGGAGCCGGATGTGGAGCGATGTGGGAGGCCGAGGAGGCGGAGACGGGAGCGGTGATGAGGCCGGATGTGGGAGCCGGATAATAGGGGCGGGGTGGGGAAGGGGAGTGTGGAAGTGGATGTGGAGTGCGGGTGACCGGAGGCGGAGCGGATGTGGGGGCCGGAGTAGGAAAGGCCGGATGGGGATGCCCGGATGTGGTAAAAGAGAGCGATGTGGGAAGCCGGATGGGATGCGGGAGGCAGGAGGACGGATGTGGAAGCCGGATGTGGATGGGATGGAGAAGCGGATGTAATGGAGCAGGAATGGGCGGATGTGATGGCCGGATGTGAGGGAGTGTAAAGCGGATGTGGGAGCGGGGCGGATGTGGGGAAGCTGGATGTAGGGCGGAGTGGATGCGGAGGGGATGTGGGAGGCCCGGAGCGAGATGTGGGTGCGGGGAAGCGGATGGGAGCGGATGTGGGAAGCGGGGCAAGGAGTTAGGATGTGGGGGCGGATGGGGTAATGGGAGCCGAGTGGATGTAGATGTAGAGGGATGTGGGAGGCGGATGCGGTGGAGGCATGGAAGCGGATGTGGGAGGCAGGAGTATGGGATGGAGCCGGAAAGGAGTGTGGGAAGCGGATGTGCGGGGGATGTAGGAAGCGGATGTAGGGCAGGAGGCGGGGGAAGGGGATGTGGGGAGCGGATGTAGAGGCCAGCGGCATGGGAAGCGGGAGGGCAGGGGTGTAGGAAGCCCGGATGTAGGAAGCGGATGTAGGGAGGCGGGGCAGGGGTGTGGGAAAGCGGATGTGGGGGAGGCGAAGGCGGGGGTGGGAAGCAGATGTGGGAAGTGATGGGGAGGCGGATGTAGGAAGCCCCGGATGTGGGGAGGCGGGAGCAGTGGGAGAGCGGATGTGGGGCGGGGCCGGAGGGAGTAGGGGTGGGAGGCCGGATGGGAGGTGGATGTGAGAGGCCGGATGGAGTGGAGGCGGGGTGTGGGAAGCGGATGTAGGGAGGCGGGATGTGGGAAGCGGATGTGAGTGGATGTGTGGAGGCAGATGTGGAAGGAGCGGATGTGGGAGCGGATGTAGAGGGAGGAAGGGATGTGAATGTAGGAAGTGGAGTGGATGGATGGGGAGGCGGGGGCAAGGATGTGGGAGGGATGGAGGGCAGTGGAGCCAGGAAATGGAGTGTAGAGAGGCCGGGGCGGAGGCAGGGTGTGGAGGCCGAGGAGTAGAGGTGGATGGGGGTGGATGTGGAGGTGTGGAAGTGGGGTTTGGGAGTGGGAGAGGGGAATGGGGAGTTGGTGCGGGAGTGGGAGCGGAGTTGGAGTGGAGGTGGCATGGCGTGGAGCAGAGCAGAGAGGGAGCAGGAGAGGAGAGGAGTTAGAGTGGAGGTGGCATGGAGTGGAGTGGAGCGAGTGGGAGTTTTTGCTGTTTTAAGCAGACATTTCCAGCAGATATGCTGATAAGCTCCACAGATGTACTCATGCAAGGAACTCACCCGGATCATTCATATGACTAGTCATGTCTTTAGCCTCTTGGCTACCTTGCCACCCTCTAGTGGTTTGGAGATTATACAATTACAAAAATATGAGTGTTTCCATAAGTCAGAGCTAGTTGACCTGCAGCTAGTATTATTTTGTGGAGATCAGTGATGTTATTTGAGAAAGCTAATCAGACGACTGCTTAAATGGTTTTAATGTCACCCATACCCAACCGTAACCTAAATATACCATGATAATCCTATAATACCATAATTTAAAAAAATTATGAATAAAATATCTCACAGTGCAAATGAAGACTTTTGCTTATATCATTCATTAATAACTCTATATTTACACACCACCCTTGGTGCCATTGTACAAAGCAATCTAAGCATTAATGTGATCGTAAGTCTTATACCCTAACAACCTAAGATTAAGTAGATCCAGGTTAGAATTTGGTCTTTGGCAACCCTTGTCGTAAGCGGCGACTATCGGGTAGTCAGGTTCCATCCCAGTTGTGTAGATCAATGCTCATGATCTTAATCACTGGATTGTCTGGTCTCAATAATTTACAAACCAATGCCATATAGCTGGAATATTGCTCAAAGTGGCGTAAAACTAAACTCACTCACTCACTCTTTATCTTTTATAGATACTGACAAAAATGTATTGTATACTGTATCATCTCCTGTAAAGTGTATCTTCTAGACCCTAGAGAAGAAACTGAAAACGGTATCCAGCTCAAGTTTGGAACAATTTGGCAAGTCCAGTCCACTCTCAAATTAACCATTGCTCTCCATTTGGATTCTATTTCTTATTTTCTGGGCATATATTTTTTCAAAGATAACATGTATCTAGGACTGAATGTCAGTCTAAGAGCTCAGCTATAATTTAACTTCGCCAATTGTTAACCGTTTCCTGTCCAGTCTAGACAACATCCTGTCAAGCAAGGATAACAAGAAGACAAAGTCATCAATATCCCCAGCAATGGCAAAATACTCTTCATGATTATGTCTACGAGTTATGATTATGTCAAATATTTAGGTGTGTATATAGAAAAGTGGAAGGAGAGTATTGAAAGTTTTTTAAAGTTCTGCTCCAGAAAGCAGCACTATCAACAATTTCAGTCAAACTTGTTGCCATAGAAATGCCAAAATATTTTATTCAGAATTCCCAAACTACCAAAAGGCACCAGTACACCACCAGATCTATCTATGTGCCAAGTTTGGTGAAGAAATATTGAACGGTTTTAGAGTTCTGCTCCGGAAAAGAGCACTACAACAATTTCAGGCTAAGTCAAACTTGTTGCCATGGAAACGCCAAAAATATTTTATTCAGAATTCCCAAACTACCAAAAGGCACCAGTACACCACCAGATCTATCTATGTGCCAAGTTTGGTGAAGAAATATTGAACGGTTTTAGAGTTCTGCTCCGGAAAAGAGAACTACTACAATTTCAGGCTAAGTCAAACTTGTTGCCATGGAAACGCCAAAATATTTTATTCAGAATTCCAAAACTACCAAAAGGCACCAGTACACCACCAGATCTATCTATGTGCCAAGTTTGGTGAAGAAATATTGAACGGTTTTAGAGTTCTGCTCCGGAAAAGAGCACTACAACAATTTCAGGCTAAGTCAAACTTGTTGCCATGGAAACGCCAAAAATATTTTATTCAGAATTCCCAAACTACCAAAAGGCACCAGTACACCACCAGATCTATCTATGTGCCAAGTTTGGTGAAGAAATATTGAACGGTTTTAGAGTTCTGCTCCGGAAAAGAGAACTACTACAATTTCAGGCTAAGTCAAACTTGTTGCCATGGAAACGCCAAAAATATTTTATTCAGAATTCCAAAACTACCAAAAGGCACCAGTACACCACCAGATCTATCTATGTGCCAAGTTTGGTGAAGAAACATTCAAAGGTTCTAGAGTTCTGCTCCGGAAAAGACAAATGTGCACGGACGGACGGAGTCCATTTTAATACCCCCAGCAAAACGCTTTGCGGGGGATAAAAAGATGTTGTGGTTCCGATTACACCTCTTTGAAATTTAGGGTAGGTAGGTAGGATTTTTTTTTTAAATTTTTTTTAGAAGTAAAGTACAAACTAATAACACCTTTATCAATGTGTAATTGTTTATTCAATCAAGCTTGCGGCCATCATGTCGACTTTCTCTATCAGAGTGACAGATATCTGTCGGTGCCGGGGAAAAATAATCGTATCTGAAAGCTTAATTTATTCATACCGCCTAAAAAAGATAGGGTCGGCACCAGAATTCAAGGGTCGGTCGGGTAATCGGAACCACAACATTTTTTTTAGGCCTAACAACAAAAAACAAGGTAAGGCAGGTCAGGTATTTAATCAGCACTGAGCAGTTAACTTGCAAACATTTAGTTTTAGAAGTTTAGATTATCTGAACTAAGGGCCCAGTAGCATTGCGTCAACAATGACGCAAGCTTCTAAATTCACTGCGTATTTGAGATAGTGAGTGCGTCAAATACGCAGGTTTTCTGCGTCATGGCAAACACTGACTCCTCGTAATCAGGGGAGCTGTATAGAGCTGATGTGGAGAACAGTCAAAGCACACGCTATGATCATGACAGGATAGTTACACAAAGACACAGATAGTATAATTGCCCAGAGAGTAAATTGAGGTTTAGATAACTTCCAATGCTGTGGCAAATAAAAATATAGGGTGTTGCAATACTTTATTAGATGTGTATAAATACCTTTGCAACATCCTAATTATCTTCTTATATATCTAGGTTGAAGGTGACAGTTTACCATGTTTTACTGACTTCCCTTTTTAAGTAGGGAAAAGCATGAAAATTCTGTTTCGTTGAAAAGACATCCAAAAGATAAATTTATCAAACATTTATTTCAGTTTCTGAAATATTATTAGTCATGTAATGCCCGAGCCAGCAGTTATAAAATGATACAAACTGCCATGATTGTTTGCCCTATATTGACAGGAATCAAAAATACTAGTAGCATTGTCAACATGTTCAATAGTAAGCATACCAATCAATAGTTTTAATAGTTGCTGCTTGTAATATATATAACTCAAAATATGTCCATTTCAAACCTGCCTCTATTTAATAGTAAGCATACCAATCAAAAGTTTTAATAGTTGCTGCTTGTAATATATATAACTCAAAATAACCATTTCAAACCTGCCTCTGTTCAATAGTAAGCATACCAATCAATAGTTTTAATAGTTGCTGCTTGTAATATATATAACTCAAAATATGACCATTTCAAACCTGCCTCTGTTCAATAGTAAGCATACCAATCAATAGTTTTAATAGTTGCTGCTTGTAATATATATAACTCAAAATATGCCCATTTCAAACCTGCCTCTATGTTCAATAGTAAGCATACCAATCAATAGTTTTAATAGTTGCTGCTTGTAATATATATAACTCAAAATATGCCCATTTCAAACCTGCCTCTGTTCAATAGTAAGCATACCAATCAATAGTTTTAATAGTTGTTACTTGTAATATATATAACTCAAAATATGCCCATTTCAAACTGCCTCTGTTCAATAGTAAGCATACCAATCAATAGTTTTAATAGTTGCTACTTGTAATATATATAACTCAAAATATGCCCATTTCAAACTGCCTCTGTTCAATAGTAAGCATAACAATCAATAGTTTCCAGCAATACAGTTTGTAACATATATAACATAAATAATGCCCATTTCAAACCTGCTTCTGTTTTAGTTAGCAAAGATTATGACCCTTTCAGATTGAGTTTGTCACTCAACTGTCTGCAATACTTTTACTCATTTCTTTTACATTAGCACATGCAGTTATCAAGCCTGAAGTTGATCTACTACTGTCACAGTACTGTTGGCTACTATTGTAATACAACTGAAATAGTTTAATAACCAACAGTCATCCCTACAACCTGCACAATTCAGATTTAAAAATCCAACCATATACTGAGTGAGTTTGGTTTTACGCCGCTTTTAGCAATATCGAGGCGCGGGAGACCAGAATTAGGCTTCACACATTGTGCCCATGTGGGGAATCAAACCCGGGTCTTCAGCATGACGAGCGAATGCCTTAACCACTAGGCTACCCCACCGTCCGAAGATATTAGTAAACAGAGAACAGTACTTAAGACTAACTGATCCTTAGTCTATTGATTCGGGAACAGTGAAAATGACTGTAGTGAGTGAATATGGTTTTATGCTGCAATTAGCAATATTCCAGCAAAAACACATGTCGGGGAGACCAGAAACAGGGTTTTACACAGACTTTATTTTTGGGAGTCATTTTCATTATTTGGGAGTCATTGAAATTTTAGTGTAATATTTCCTTGTGTGAATCAAAAAGCATCAGTCTGCCTTTTCTGCATTTTAGACAGATGTGCTGAAAAGCTGTTGCATTTTGTGAATTTTAACAGTGTCAATGTGATCTTTAGAAGCTTGATGTCTCGTACATGTCGACTTCTGAAAATTCTGACAATCAAATGTAAAGGGGTTTGATTTATTTTTTGCCTGAATGCACATATCTCGGGTCATGATTTTGCAGCTGGTTTTAGTGTTCATCATTAGAAACGTCAGATTTGATTTTCTTGCTTTCATTACCGAAAAACGAGTCAAGCGACCACTGTTTATTAACACAGACAATGCTTAAATGACCAAAACATAGTCTAAACATATCGAATGACGTATTCAACTGCTATTTACTGTCAGAAAATAGTGAATGACACACTCAAATGCTATTGGCAGGTATTTTTTACCGCATTCTAGCATGGCTCTATTTTTAGCCATTCGGTGTTCCCGTACTTTCTGTTAACATAACGAGCGTTTTCAACACAGTTTGCAATAAAAGAAAGCTACCATGTGATTTGCTTATCAAATCAATTTTATTGAACTGAATTCTGAGGGTTACTCATAAAACGTGCGTCAAGATTGACTCGTATGATAATATTTTGAGAGTCTTTTAGAAAATTGTTGCGTCAAATACGCAGGAATCACTCGTAATGTAAAACCCTGCAGAAATGGGGTAGCCTAGTGGTCCAAGCATTGGCTTGTCACTTCGAAGACCCGGGTTCGATTCCCCACATGGGTACATTGTGTGAATCACATTTCTGGTGTCTTCCGTTGTGATATTGCTGGAATATTGCTAAAAGCATACTCACTCACTCACTCTAACAACAAGCATGGGCTGCTGAAGACTAATTCTATCCTAAACCATCACAGGTATTCAGTGCATGTGTACTAAATGATATGTAGCTGCATAGGAAAGTTTTGAAACACTGTATGTAATGTTCATCCTTTCTGCCTTATCAATATCATCTATGTTCAGCTATACAATTATTTCACTGTAGGAGTGCATTCAAGTGCAGTTCCAGAGAAAGAATTTTTCACATCACCGAGAAACAGCCAGTTGAAAAGCAGAAGGCGGCAAAGCTAATATTGAGCAACATGACATACAAGACCTTGACACTCAGGCAAACACATGTACTGTGATGCTAATGGCAAAGAATGTAACCCTATTACGACAAGCAGAAACTTGTCTTTCCAAGAAACACATTACAGAAGATAACAACTTGTTTTAAAGTTCTTTAGTTCTACGTTTAAGTGCCAACAACTGAAAACTGAATCCCGAAAAAATTCATCATATGTTGTAAAATGCCGGCCTCTCCTAAGTACAGTATGGCACGTTTACAGCTCTATTTGTCATCTCTGACAACATATAACAAACTGTACTGCTGTTTTATAACATAGAAGACCTTCACTCTCAGGGACAATGTAACAATAAATCACAACATATTACAAGTATGTTACTCTCTCGTCAGGATTTTTCTGTCTAAAGAAAATGAAGGTACAGAAGCTCACCTTTCCTTTTTAGAGTAAGTGAGTTTAGTTTCACGCCACACTCAGTAATATTCCAGCTATATGGCAGCGGTCTGTAAATAATTGAGTCTGGATCAGACAATCCAGTGATCAACGGCCTGAACATCAATCTACGCAATTTGGATATGATGACATGTGTCAACCAGGTCAGCGAGCCTGACCACCCCGATCTCGTTAATCGCCTCTTACAACAGGCATGGGTTACTGAAGATCAATTCTAAACCAGATCTTCACGAGTGAGAACTGTTTACAGATGAACACCATATATTTCATAAGTTCTTCTTTCATCCTAGCTCATGATATTATTGTTAAATACAGATCGTGTAGAAGCTGAAAAGGATGTTCAATTAATCAGTTATTTGGACGATGACAAAACATATCAGGAAGTGAAGTTTAAGATCATTGGGCATTACAAAAATATATGTCTTAAGAAAAAGATGGGCAATCATGAGAAACTGAACTTTTTGGTTGACATGCATTAAAATTATGACAGATTCTTTTGAACATAGTGATGGTTTCATTCTGACATGTATCAATAAAGTGAATGTTTTCTGAAGGTTCACAATATATGTTGATGACCTTCACCTTGATCACCCTTATCAGCAATTTTTTCAAAGGAAGGAGTATCCTGGAGATACACGATAAACAAGTATTACATAGGAATAGAAATCACATGCACTTGGGATGCATGTGTCATTAGCATGGACATACTGATGGAAAACAGCAACCGTGCTTCTTATAAAGTTCAATTAATTAATTTATTCTGAAATAAAAAATATGCATCCAGCTATATGCAGTGGTTTGAAAATAATCGAGTCTGGGCCAGACAAGCCAGTGAGTAACATCATGAGCATCGATCTATGCAGTTGTTACAATTATAATAAAAGTGACATGCAGTGTATAATGAATCTTTCTAAGGTTTGCTTTAGCATGTTTAGGGTTGAAAACAACATATTAGCTTACAAAGTTGACATGCTACATGCTTTCAGTGCCTGTTATTATTCAGTGCCAAATTTTATTTAAACATTATACATGCTGGTAGAATGGACAAATACATACTGAATCATGAATACACAATGCCATTTAGAAAGTGGTCAAATGTAAGATATGTTATATTTGGGATTACACTTTCTTCATAAAGTACAGATTCTAGTACTTTTGTTTGTTCGAGTCCCATCTGAAATTCGAACCCACAGCTGGGATTCGAACCCACAGCCCCAGAGTCAGGCACCTAATCGCCAGCACACAGAGTCAGCCGCTTAACCCACTCAGCCAAAGCTGACATGTTATTCTGAATCATCACGGATTTACGGGTCGCGAAATTCTGCATCCTATACACATAAAAATTGACACTGGACACAACTAAATTTATTAGCGCATCCACACGGACGCAGAAAAAGTCCAAATACTTTTGTAAAAATTCCAATCAAGTAACAATAAGTTATCACTGAGTTTGCTACTAGCTGAGTTATGGTATCATTTGCAACTTCATTACTGTAACAATTAAAGTGCTGATCATGAGACACAATACAATAACAGTGTTAGTAATAATATTTAAGTGTCTGGGACCCCCATTTTGTTGTCCAGGACCCCTGAAAATTAAGAGTAAGAGCCCAAAGGGCCCTCAAATACAGGACTCAAGGTATATCCCTGATCATGCTGTTGATACTCTGTTTTCAAGGCTGCTAGTATGGTTCCCGATTCAATTCAGCATTCTCAGATCAACAGGTAACCCAGCCGTGCATTGAACGGTCAGAGTATCACAACAATCAAAGTACCACTGTACTGGTAGTGAATACGGGAAAGAATATTATCAGAGCTATCACACTAGACCCAAAACACTCTGCTCTGTAAACAGTAGGGGTGTTATTGACTGAAAACTTTAATGTTGACTTGCTGATTCAAAAGTTACTATCTCAATACAAAATATAGTTTTTTATTCTGTATTGATAAAAGTGATACACAAATGATAAAGGTTACCTTTGCAAGCCTACACTAAATGAATTTAGTTGATCTATTGTAAGTTTTGAATTGAATTATGGGTTTTTTCAATTTTCTATCATAATCATGGTAGTCTTACAATAATACTTTGACATGGATACAGTTTAAACATATTTGGTTCCGTAACTTGTACACGGACTGGATTGTTAAACAAATTTTGCGACTAGATGTCTCTTTGCCATGGATATGTAGGATATATATATAGGATATACAGGACCAACTACATGTATTGAGTTAGGTCAGTATGACTGTTATTTTCCTTACAAGAGACAAGGTAACATATCATATGCAGCAATTTTCATTTTAACATTTAATATTTTCAGCTGAACAATTGACCATGTAAACCAACAATAGATTATCATGATCCACATTAATATGGCATACAATAGACTAAATGTGGAATAATTCTCACCTTTTGTCTGAAATGTTCCCCATTATGAACTTATGGTTCGCGTAATGAACTCATTTAATAAGAGTCGACCCATACAATAATCATAAAATCTACTGGAAAGTAGGCTAAATCAGAGCTAGTGGAGTCACAAGTGCACTGACACAGAGACCTGGAGATTAAGTTATCTTATATAATAAAAATAATGATAAAATTCACAAGAAGCCCAGGAGAAGCTCAGGTTATAATAAGGACCTGTCCAATCATTCCGGACTAAAATTAAACTCACTCTGGAAAGATTTCCGCCAGCAACTTCCGTATTTTTAAAATCATTCTATGACTAAGAATGTAGGTCTATGGTTTTTATAAAAAGCCTAAAGCTAACCCTAACCCTTCAATATAGTTCTAATAAATTAACACTATTCGGTCACACTTTTCTTGATTTGTGTTCACATTTAGAGAATACGTGATGATGTTAATGTTATCACATTGCCTCAAGTCGTCAACGTATTGATCTATATACTTACATACAATACACACAGCAAACAGTCTCTTAGGAAGCTCTGGTACATCGCAATCAGGGAATATCGGTTGTAGAATATACAGACTGCATATCAGACTCAGTGCAGCGATACCGACTGGGCATATCAACATAAAGTTAATCCACAGACACACAAATGCTGGGTAATCCCCAAATGCTCTTTTGATGTAAACATATTCTCCGCCAGATTGTGGCATCGCTGCCCCAAGCTCCGCATAACACACGGCGCAGAGGGTGTTGTAAACGCCGCAAATGGACCACATTACCATGGACATCCCCACTGATTTTGTGTGCATCAAGATTCCAACAGGTGACACAAAAATCCCGGAGCCGATAATAATACCCACGATAATTGCAACCCCTTGGAACAGGGTGATAGTTTTTTTAAGTTCCACTTTCTCCGCCGGTGGATCGCCTCTTCCCGAACCCATCTTGAAGTTATTTTATGTGAATCTGGAGCAAATATTATGAGTATAAGTCCAGGTTTCCTTTGGGTGCTGCTTGATTAGGCCGCACGTCTAATATTCCGTATGCTTGAATTACGACTGCGCTTGTATTATTTACCCAGTGCCTTTCATGTACTACGCCACGTGGTTTGCTGTTGTAACCAAGAAGGTGCCGTTGACTGGTCTCCTGTCCAAGCCCTACAACTTCCCAGGGCGGTTGACTGGTACGCTTTCTGTTTGAGTAACAGCTGATCTGTAATGGTGTGTCAAGTCACGTAGGTCAACCACTGATTAGCTCTTACTGTTTTACGCCCGACCACATAGGCACCAGCATTCCCGCCTTGAAGTACTATCACAACAAACTCACAGAGTAGCCTCCCTTGTTACAATTAGGGAGCGGTTATTTTGGCGGTTGTTGAGGGAACACGCCTACTTTATTCATTATGAATGGGCTGATAGAGTAGACGATGATGCAATAGTCTGAAAAACGATTTTTTTTCTTTGTGTGTGTGTGATCTGTCATTTCACGACATGGTTATAAGGATTCAACCTGTACAAAACCTATCATTTGTTACAGCTCGAAATTAGCTGGAGATATTGGTGTGGGGAAAATGACAGAATACCTGATAGTAGCATAGAAATATGTACAACAATATTGAGTGTTGATATGAGCCATTGAGTAACTAAATCGTATTATGCTAATAAATCTCATCAGTGGTATTCAGATATATCATTTTAGCTGTTTAATATAACCGACAAGGTATTTGTGTTTAAGTAAAATATGTTATAATTGGGATTTTACACTTTTATTTTACACTTTCTCAGTAAAGTGCATAGCCATTCGTCACCACTCGCCCATTTCCGTAACCTCCAAGCTTGTCCCGAAATAACACGAGTTGGTCACGAATGGTGCATAGCTTGTACTTTGGGGGATATGAGTCCCTCCCGGGTTAGAACTCACTCTCAGAGTGAGGCTCACTCTAAGGGCCTTCGCACAAAGTTAGCAATCTAACCCAATCAGCCGCACGTGTGTAAATGTATGTACAAGTTGGCGAAGGCATGCTTGCTAGACTAGAGCTTAGTCTCTGACTATATTTAATTTTGATAGAACAAATAATTCCTTTTAAGTTAAAAAGGAGCCCCAGTGAGATGAGTGATTCAGAACGTGAACCCGATAAAATCTAGACTTGCTTCATTCAGGGCTTCAGCATTGCAGAGAGGGCTGGGCGGAAAGGGAAATATTGCAGTTCGGGGGCTATGAAGTAGTGTTGTGTGTTTGTTGTTAAACGGCGCACTCATTAATTTTTGAACATTCCAGCTCTCTGGCGGTGGTCTTTCAATAATCGAGTCTGGACCAGACAATCCAGTGATCAACAGCATGAGCATCAATCTCCTCAATCGGGATACGATGACATGTGCCAACCAAGTCAGCGAGCCTGACCACCCGACCCCGTTAGTCGCCTCTCACGACAAGAATGCATGGGTTGCTGAAGACCAGTTCTAACCCGGATCTTCACGGGTGTTTACAATTGTGAATGCCAGAAGCACGGGTATGGTACCGAAGGACCAAGAGTCTTAACCGTGGGGAATCTTGCGTGAGTGAGTGAGGTTAGTTTAACGCAGCTTTTAGCAATGTTCACGCAATATCACGGCTGGGAACACCAGAAATTGGTTTCACACATTGTACCCATGTTGGGAATCGAACCCGTTTCTTCGGCGTGACGAGCGAACGCTTTAACCACAAGGCTACCCCACCGCCCCTGGTGAATCTTGGAGTCCCAGATATCGATATCAAGGTTTGATGGATGCTCTTTGTCGGGAACCTACAGACACAACCTATGTGTGTCACAACTTACGCCCCGCTGTCCTGCTATCTCATATGTCTGGTGTCACAATATAATCACAACCACCATACGCCTGGTGACTGGATATCAGCGTTAGATAGTGTCCAGTATCACTGTTCATGTCGCGTGGTCACGTACTGGACACGAGCGAGTGGGACGAGTGCAGAGAGTCACGTTCAGTGGATAATGTTTCACATACCGTGTGTTATCGCAATAAAGTGCTGACATATAATATGTCATTGGTGTTGTGTGTGTTTACATATTATAAACCTATGGCCAATGTTGTCTATTGTTCTTGCAGTTGCTTCGCATTATGGAATAACCTCGGTAGAGGTTTTACGATTGCAGGATGTTTTACAATGATCATTGTAATACCTCAGTGTCAGGGATTTCCTTCCCCTGAGGTTTTACATTCTCAACCAAAACCTCGGAGTCGTCTTTTATCCTACACTTAAAGACCTCCTCTGTGGTGTAGTGGTTAGAGCGTCCGCGTACAAGCAGCCACACATGCACACGTATGCACGTCGTCATATGAGCGAAATATTCTCAAGTACGACGTTAAACCCCATTTCAACTCACCTTACATATTAAACCACATACATATTATGTCATGCTATCATTGTATGATTTGTTTACATAACAAGATTGACAAATCATTGTGTTATCTGTCTACGTAACATATGTTATACCATTGGAGTTGTATGTGTTTACATATGTGATACCACGTGATGTGACATATGTCATAAATTTAGTGTTCTCCGTGTATACCTAGTATTTGTTGCACCACCAGTGTTGCATGTCTATATCACACATGTTATTCAAATACGTAACACTTATGTTATTAGTGTTATAAGTATACATAGCATTTGTTGTACAACTAGTGTTATGTGTACATGCCACAAAGTTTCAGGTAAGGTGAGGTGAGTGAGTGAGTGAGTTTAGTTTTACGCCACACTCAGCAATATTCAAACTATATGGGTCGGTCTGTAAATAATCGAGTCTGGACCAGACAATCCAGTGATCAATAGCATGAGCATCGATCTGCGCAATTGGGAACCGATGACATGTGTCAACCAAGTCAGCGAGCCTGACCACCCGATCCCGTTAGTCGCCTCTTACGACACGCATAGTCGCCTTTTGTGGCAAGCATGGGTTGCTGAAGATCTATTCTATCCCAGATCTTTACGGGTCTGAGGTGAGGTGAAATTGAGTTTAACGTCTTACTTGAGAATATTCCGCTCATATGATGACATGCACGCTGGAGGCAATCTGTGACAACAACAGACAACAGCTACAGACTATAGTCTGTTTGCAGTGAAAACGTACCGATGAATTTCACTTTAAACAAGGGTTAGGGTTAGGTTAGGTTTAGAGTTAGGTTTAGAGTTGGGGGAACGGAAGGAACTCTTTCCCTAATATTGGTACATGAAGAGCATTAGCACTCCTGGATTGTTCTGAGAGGATAAAATGGTGGATTTGGCCTTATACAGAGCGAGGATCGATCGCGATAGGTGAGCCATGTTGGCACGGACCGTGAGTACTCGCCTCACACCACTACATCAGATCTGCCCCTCAGGCGGTCTGTCTGTGTAGTGTGGTTTACTCTCTTCCGTCTAGTGTCATTGTCTGTGATTACTCAAGGTCACGCTCTCCGTGATAAATGTTATGAATACCTGGATTTTGAAACCATTGTGTACATTGGTGACGTGACTATGCCAGGTCCCTTGATCAGCCATGCGTATCATAGACAGGATCAAACAATCACATGATTCCAGCTAACGTTGTTTAACTACAACTGATCCTTTCACACGATGTAGAGACAAATCCAGGTCCACAATTGACCATGAAAGACCTTAATGCTGTTAAAGCTGAGATCAAAACCGATATATTGAATGAAATTCGCGAGTTTCGACAATCGATGTGTACGGAAATGAATGCCATAAAATCTCAAATAAGCGAAGTAGCAGAAAAATGTTCATCATTAATTCACTGTCGGAATTACGGGTAGACGTAGATAGAGTGGCAAATGAACAAGTGTCAATCTACACTGATATACACGCTATGAATCATAAGTTTGAAAATCTTGAATCTGTAGTCTAAAGACACGAATCCGAACTTGATAAACGTGAGTCTTTTAGCCGAAGAGATAACATTATTTTGTATGGAATAGACGAACAGCGGGATGAAAACTACGATGCTTGTAAAACAAAGTGATCTCTGTTCTCAATAGCAATGTGGCGGTTAAGGTTTGGCAAAGGTCAGACATTATACGAGCGCATGGTGTAGCTCGTAGACAAGAAGGCCATGATAAACCCCGTCCGATGATTGCAAAATTCTCGACGACAGAGGATAAAATAGCTGTACTGAAGCATCGTGATGATCTGAGAAAGGTAAATATCGGTGTGGCTAATGATCTTACCAAGAGAGAAAGAGAGACTATAGCAGACCGTAAGAGTAGAGGGCTTATAGCATATTACAAAAATGGTAAGCTTGTGACCGCACCAGCTAACCCGGAGCAAGCCCACAGAGCTGATATCCCACGCAGATTAACCCATGCTAGGACTGCTGCATCCATACCAGGGAGGAGCAGGGGTCCCGGCCGGCAGTCCGCCTATGGGACAAGCATGCATCCCGGTTCTCAAGCCTTAGTCTGTCTCACAGTCCCTGAACCACATTATTTTCCCTACTGCCTAGCCCCATCTGCAGTGCTAAAGCCCTAAATAAAGCAAGTCTAGATTTCCTCAGGTTCTGAATCTCTGGTCTCCTTGGGGCTCCTTTTAAATTTAAATGGGCTTGTTTGTTACTATGTTACAAAAGTATATATATTCAGAGACTAAGCGTTAGTCTACTCAAGCCTCTACTCCCGTCCCAGTCTCAGCCTCAGCCGCAGCCCCAGCCAACAGCTTGACATCTCCCCCGTCTCCGGACCTCGGCTCCTCCATGGACGACAGCTAGGGACTTGGCCAGGCCCACAACTCTACACGATCGCAACTATCAGAATATTCCAGTTCTTTTTGCGATCTAAATATTTTAACTTGGAATATGGACGGTTTCTTCACAAAACTTAACGATAGTGATTTCGTTGAGTATATACAAAGCTATGATATCATTTGTCTAGTCGAAACGTTTCTAGACAGTGTCATATCCATACCTGAGCTCTCAACCTGTGTTATGTATATTTGTAAAGCACATAGGTTAGCAAAGTATGGTAGATGATCATACCTGAGCTCTCAACCTATGTTATGTATATCTGTAAAGCACATAGGTTAGCTAAGTATGGTAGATGATCATACCTGAGCTCTCAACCTATGTTATGTATATCTGTAAAGCACATAGGCTAGCTAAGTATGGTAGATGATCATACCTGAGCTCTCAACCTATGTTATGTATATCTGTAAAGCACATAGGCTAGCTAAGTATGGTAGATGATCTAAGCTCTCAACCTGTTATGATGATCATACCTGGCTAGCTAAGCTCTCATCCTATGTTATGTATATCTGTAAAGCACATAGGCTAGCTAAGTATGGTAGATGATCATACCTTAGCTCTCATCCTATGTTATGTATATCTGTATAGCACATAGGCTAGCTAAGTATGGTAGATGATCGCTAAGTTATGTATATCTGTAAAGCACATAGGTTAGCTAAGTATGGTAGATTATCAGGTGGGGTTGTAATGTTGGTTAAACGCACGATGGCGTCTCACTGCAAACAAGTTTTCACTGACATAAACAATGTTGTATGTCTCAATATAGAGAAAAACATTGTCATTAAACATAAAGAAATCATCATACTAGGAATGTATGCCCCTCCTGCCAGCTCGACTTTTTATGTTGCAGTCGATAAATCTAACCCCATCGACAAGCTAGATGAATGGCTCACTCAACATCGTGACTCGAACTCAGAAGTTCTTATCTGTGAGGACTTGAACGCCAGAGTTGCTATTGGTAACAGCCCACCAGAGACATTTGACACTGAACGACTTGACAGAAGTGCCTTCCCGGATGAAGACCCTGTGCTACTTGGACAGAGACACTCATGCGATAATGTTATGAACATGTTTGGTCGTAAGCTTTTAGACCTGTTTGCTCGCAATCTGTACTTGTTCAATGGAAGGAGAAATGGAGATTTGGATGGCAATTTCACTTATATTTCAAACCAAGGATGCAGTGTAATTGATTATTTCATTAATTATGTTGATGTACATCAATCTGTAAATACATGCATACTGATACTCGTGTAGAGTCGAAGCATATGCCAGTGAGTTTACATTTAAAGTGTACTACTGAAGTGACAGACAATGCTGCTAACTGTAAACATGAACAATCACAAGATGAGAGTAGATATAGGTGGGACGATAACAAGGCTGATGTATGTAGATATAGGTGGGACGATAACAAGGCTGATGTATGTAGATATAGGTGGGACGATAACAAGGCTGATGTATGTAGATATAGGTGGGACGATAACAAGGCTGATGTATGTAGATATAGGTGGGACGATAACAAGGCTGATGTATGTAGATATAGGTGGGACGATAACAAGGCTGATGTATGTAGATATAGGTGGGACGATAACAAGGCTGATGTATGTAGATATAGGTGGGACGATAACAAGGCTGATGTATGTAGATATAGGTGGGACGATAACAAGGCTGATGTATGTAGATATAGGTGGGACGATAACAAGGCTGATGTATGTAGATATAGGTGGGACGATAACAAGGCTAACAAGATGTATGTAGATATAGGTGGGACGATAACAAGGCTGATGTATGTAGATATAGGTGGGACTGGCTGATGTATGTAGATATAGGTGGGACGATAACAAGGCTGATGTATGTAGATATAGGTGGGACGATGTAACAAGGTGGTGGGACGATAACAAGGCTGATGTATGTAGATATAGGTGGGACGATAACAAGGCTGATGTATGTAGATATAGGTGGGACGATAACAAGGCTGATGTATGTAGATATAGGTGGGACGATAACAAGGCTGATGTATGTAGATATAGGTGGGACGATAACAAGGCTGATGTATGTAGATATAGGTGGGACGATAACAAGGCTGATGGGACGATAACAAGGCTGATGTATGTAGATATAGGTGGTGGGACGATAACAAGGCTGATGTATGTAGATATAGGTGGGACGATATAGGTGGGGGACGATAACAAGGCTGATGTATGTAGATATAGGTGGGACGATAACAAGGCTGATGTATGTAGATATAGGTGGGACGATAACAAGGCTGATGTATGTAGATATAGGTGGGACGATAACAAGGCTGATGTATGTAGATATAGGTGGGACGATAACAAGGCTGATGTATGTAGATATAGGTGGGACGATAACAAGGCTGATGTATGTAGATATAGGTGGGACGATAACAAGGCTGATGTATGTAGATATAGGTGGGACGATAACAAGGCTGATGTATGTAGATATAGGTGGGACGATAACAAGGCTGATGTATGTAGATATAGGTGGGACGATAACAAGGCTGATGTATGTAGATATAGGTGGGACGATAACAAGGCTGATGTATGTAGATATAGGTGGGACGATAACAAGGCTGATGTATGTAGATATAGGTGGGACGATAACAAGGGACAATATAAGCTGTAACAAGGCTGATGTATGTATGATATAGGTGGGACGATAACAAGGCTGATGTATGTAGATATAGGTGGGACGATAACAAGGCTGATGTATGTAGATATAGGTGGGACGATAACAAGGCTGATGTATGAAGGTGGGACGATAACAAGGCTGATGTATGTAGATATAGGTGGGACGATAACAAGATATAGGTGGACGATAACAAGGCTGATATGTAGATATAGGTGGGGCGATAACAAGGCTGATGTATGTAGATGTAGGTGGGACGATAACAAGGCTCGTGTATATTTACAAGCTCTAAGTTGTCTGTGGAGGA